TGTTAACATTCGCTCACTAATTTAAAAGTTATAGCATGAAAACTATAACAAGCACAAAATGATTACGACGTCGGTCCCAGGGACCGAGACTGTGCTGAAAGACCGAGTTCATTTTAATATACTATAATCTCTTATAGTGATGGCACATGACGAGACACACATTCGGCATGTAACACTGTTTGAATACAAGAAGGAAAACAACGCCTCTGCAGCCACAAAGACTATCAAAGAAGTTTATGGAAATGTTTTGAACGTTTGTAAGTGTCAACGATGGTTCAGCAAATTTCGTTCAGGTGATTTTAGCCTTAAAAACTGCGATGGCCGACATGTTGGAATTGATATTTATGCTCTGAAGACGCTTGTTGAGTTTAATCCAAGGCAACACACTCGTGAAATGGCTCTGAAATTGCATGTCTCTGATCAAACAATACGTAAACATTTAAGGAATATGGGAAAACTCCATAAAGAAGGTGTTTTGGTGCCACCCCCTTCTCTCCGATGATCATCGTTTCTAACGTTTGAACGTTGCTTAGTCTCTTCTGGTGCATAATGCGCGTGAACAATTTTTGAACAGAATTGTCACCGGTGATGAAAAATGTATTCTCTATGCGAATATAAAATGCCAAAAAAGCAATGGCTCAGTCCCAGACAAAAACCTGGACTCCGTCCGCAGAAAGTGATGTTTTGCATTTGTTTGGACATCAAAGGAATAATTCATCTCGAACTCCTCAATCCACAGTGAATTGTCATACCTTTAAAGACGATCACAGTGGATGACCAATGGTTTGAATCGCCTATATTTCTGAATTCTGTAAATCACATCGTTGGTTCTTTCCATTACAACATATGACCTTTTCAATCACCTGCTGAAATTTGAAGTTCATTCTTTCTGACAATGGATATTGTACCGCCGTACCATGTCACTTTGATGTAACCCAGTCTTATCAGCATTAAAATCATAATGACTTTCCATTTAATCATAAGCTGATGTATGTCTTCCCTGGATAAAGTCATGTCTGATATCATAATTCTTCAATATTACGAGAGCTCTTCCAACCACCAATTCCTCTGGACATGCCAGAATATTTGATTCCATTTTGCTACAGTCATTATATGTAGATTTATTGTTGATAACACCTGGTATGAGTGTTTCACTTATTGGTGGTACAATAACCACCCTCCATGTTGTCCCTGGAAGTTCAGTCTTTGGTGTAGTAATTACCATGTATATATATTAAAAATCGTTCATTCTTGTATCTTTTACACACAAAAAAGTATTTAAATTTGATTTTTTGAAAATAAATCAGCCCTGTTATTTAATTCTGATATATTGTGAAATTATTTTAAGCTAACCTAACCCTGCATCCATGTCTCTGCATGATGTTCCAGTAAGAAATATTTCTTTATATCAATTACCCATACATCATCAGTTATAGGGAAGCTCCTTACAGTAAGGATAGCTTCCAACTTCCCTTTTGCTGGACGTTACGTCCACCTACTGTTTGCATAAAATCTTCTTGTCTCTTCATTTCTGGTTTGTTTGTTTATTTTTAATTATGCACAAAGCCACACAAGGGCTATCTGTGCTCTGCCCACCACGGGTATCGAAACCCGGTTTCTAACGTTGTAAGTCCGCAGACATACCGCTGTGCCACGTGGGGGGGGGGGGGGTTATTGTTAAGTAAGGGCCCGGGTTACTACGAAAAAACAACTTTTCATAATATACATTTGTTTATTTTGACATGGATTTTGGTTTGTTATTAAAAATTAATCATTGATTTATTTAATCATTACAGTGATGTAGGTGGTAAGAATAATATGCGCTTGCATAATGAAAAATACTTTAAACATTTATCCACTTGTAAGCCCTTTCAACACGCAAAGTAAGTTTAGTTTAATGTTATTCTCTAGGATCTCTATTCCATAATAATTACAGAAATGCCCTCTTTGAGTATCATTTCGTACTATGAAAGTAAACATCCGGGCATTCAAACAGCTGCAGGAGATTTGATGTTATTGATCGAAGTAAGACTAGTCTGACTGACGCTTGGTTAGAACGCGGAGTATTGTAATAAATGTAATATTGTGTATCTATTGTTTAGGGCTATAAACGAATAGGTTCAGCGTTAGTTAATGACATAGAAAAGGCGGTTGATAGCATTTACAACTCAAGCCATCTGGTAATATAACAATTAACAATGTTATTTTTTCTTTTTTGTGTTTTAATTTTAGTGTTTTGCTACATACATAGCTAGGTTACAGTTTAACGCTCAATATATCATTAATTCATTTTCAGGCTGGCCTGGTGTGATTTTGAAACTTAAGACGTTAAGTTAGAAATTGCACATTTGCAGCACAAGTAAGTATTATCCTTCTGTTTAACTCTGAATTTCTGACTTTCAGTTTCAAGTGTGTGTTTTTAATTTTTTATTACTTTAGTTCATTAAATTCTAATTGTAAAAATTCTTTCCCACATGTGAAGAATAATTATAGATAGAAATGTGTTCTAAAATAAAATAATCTATTCATGAATAACTAAACGCCAAAATAAAAATGAATATCACATCATTTATATATACTTTCTTAGTGCATGGACTCTGATACTAGCTGCAGTTGTTTTAATACCCCTCAAAGAGTACAGTAAACTTAAAGAGTTTGAAAGTTTTAGTTGCCTAGTGATGAAATATGTGCATTAAATTTAAAAACTTTAAAACTTTTATTGGATATGTACTAGGATATGATTGTTATATTTGATTTTGTTTTTTTACTTTGATTGATGGTCTTGTTGGGTGGTGGGGGACCTTAATTGTGTTGATGAACCAAACAATCTTCTTTCACCTTGAATTTCCTTATACTTTTATCAATATTAGAATAATAGTTTAAGGTTTGATATTTCATTAACTATTTTAGCATGGAATTAGAAAAGAGGTTTCCATGTTTTATCAACTTGGATTTTTTTAATAGAGCCTATGCTCTTTTGGATGAGGGCATCCTATTCCCAGTTAATTTTGTTTAACTTTCAGAAAGCCTTTAATAACTTAGGTGTCTCACAGGAGATTAAGTATGAAGTTGGATGCTTAAATACTTGATCAAAAAGTTAAGAAGTAGGTAGAAAATTGGAATAATTATGGTAGGAAACAAGAATTAGTGATAAATGGGCATTTCTTCAACTGGAAGAATGAAACAACTGTGATCCTTTAGGAGTATTTCGGTATCTTTGTTATTCAGTATTTGTGTTAATAATTTTGCAAATGTTTTAGATTGTAACAATTACAAATATAAGTGGTTACTGGGAAGAACTGATATTCAATATTAACTATTGAACAGAGCAAACTACCTATTTAACTCAAAACTAAAAATCAACCCAGTAATGAGTTTAGCTAGTTAGATATACTTTTCTTACATTCCTACATAGAAAGATTATAATGCACTCTGTTACATTATGTTATCAGTTTGGTAACCTCATAGTTAACAGTATTTTCTGTCACAAATTTTGAGTACTTCTCATAAGTCTTGTTCAAAATGACTTTGATAATCTTAGTTAATAGGCTAAAATGTGAAGCTAAGTTTTAATACTGAGAAGCATAAGATTTTTGCTCAAAGGGAAAAGAAAAGTGGTGTTGTAGTAAAAGATGCAGAGTTTGAGTGTGATTGTTGATAAAATTTAAAGCCATCTGCTGAAAATATAATTGTGATCAAAAGAGTAGACTGATTTTTTGGCCCTATTTGTAAGAACTTTGAGTTTAAGAACAAAGTTTTTTCAGCCTTGTGAGGCTTTATTTAGAGTATTTTGTGCATTTTTGGTTCCTCTTTCTATAAACTTAAAAATATCAACTAATTGGAAATAGTGCAGAGGCAGGTTTAGATCATCGTTGTTCTGAGGAGAGGCTTAGAGTTTTAATTTTGTTTTCTCTGGTGCACAGATGAACTAGGAGAGTGTAATGTAGGTGTTCATAGTTGTTAAGGTTTGATTAGTCTTCCTGCTGTTAGTCTGAGTACAGTAGTAGAATGAGAAAACTTCAAGACAATAACTTGAGTACTATAAATTTTATTTTTTTAAAACATAGTTGCATATTTTGATTAGTTAAATATAGGTTAATGGAATGGTTTGCCTAATGTCATGTTTGGACAGTTTTTTTCATATGGATGTAAAAGGGTATATGCCAGTTGGATTTTTTTTATTGTTGTTGAGAGGGAACCTTGATGAGTTAAATGGGCTTGATGAGCTTCTTTCCCCTTCCATTTTATTATGTTCTTAATCTTATGAAAGCTTTTCTACTTACTGGTTTCCAGAGTACTGATGAGCCTTATTGTTGGACCAAAATGATGCATATAACAGCGACCACTCCTTACATCACCAAGTGTGGCTGTTCAAAAGACATTAGACTAATCACAGCCAGGGTCTACAGACCACTCTTCCTTTTTTGAACTAGGGTGTATGTATTTGAAATTGACCCTCTAGCATAAAAATGGAAGTGAAATATAATAAAAACTTATAAATTCCTGCCTCTCTTACCCATCTTTGAACATCAGTGAAAGTAGCTATTTTTAAAGGTGTTTCATGCTAAAGGAAGCCCTATTGCACATTAGTATAGATGGAGTGGTAAAAAGGAAGTCTCTTTAGAACTATGAGATGGCTTATGAGAAAAAAAGCAACCTTACAAAATGTTGTAGGGAGAAAGATGAAGACTTGGTCCATTATGAACATTTAACTGGAATAGTTACATGTCCCTCTAGAGGCACATGTAAGTAGTTATTAGATTCCATTTTATTTTGAAAATGCAGACAAATGCAGGAATGCAGTAAAATGGGATAAATGTATCTTCTTCTTACAGTATATCAGACATTTTGTGAGGCAGTATTACTTTGTTTGTTAATTATTATTAGATTTGTATTTATGTACCTTTTCCTCTGTCAGTTAGTTGAGTTTTGTTTTCAGTTTGTTTATTCATAATGCTGGCTCACACCTTGTTAGTTATTAGAGGAATACTATTTTCACACTGAGACCAAATTATTGGTACTGCGGTGGTGCTGAGATTTCAGTTGTGATAGCTATAGTATATGGCTGTATGTAAATTAATGCTCCTCCTTGTAAATATGTGTATCATTGTTTTGACAATAGCAAATACTTTTCCTGCATTGAATTTTAATCTCATCATTTGATAGAAAGTAAAAGTGTAAAAGAAGAGAGAATTAAATGCTTATGCACAAGATGCTTAAGAATATGAAAAATAGATTAGATATTGTTCATAACTGATTAGAAGTATTGTCAGTTATGTTAAATCATTTTATTTGTGTTGTATTGTTAAGCAGATTTTCGTGCACTTAATTTTTTAAGTTAGTTTTTTTTTCTTAATTTCTTGTGTCAAGGTTATATTATTAGTTAAAGATCTGTGGAGTTTAGAGGTTTTGTAAAAGTCCACACCCAGGATATTTGAATTGAGATTATATCTTGTTTACTTGTGAAAGTTAAAATATACTTTGTTTTGTTTTTAAGAATTCTTATGTTAATATTTAAATTTTTTCTTAGTATAAAGAATTTGTTGCAATTTACAGTGATGCTCAAATGAGAATTTTGTTTGAGTTGATTTCTCCATAGATCTTGGTAATTTAATTGATTAATCAATATAATCAATTAATTGAAACTGATTAAATTGATGGTCACATAATTAATCAACTAATGAAAACTAGGGTTTCAGATTATTGCTATATTTGATTATTTCTACTACCCAAGTTATCAAAATATTGCATTCATCTTGCTCATCCTGTTTTTGTTATGGAAAAGCTACTAAGGTTATATATTACTAATTTGAAATTGCTGATTAGAGAGAAGGCAATTGACTGGCAGCACCCTTCTCCAACAATTTTGTTTGTTTGTTTATTGTTGATCTGCTAACTACAGGGAAAGTAACCGTCTGCCAGTACACAACATTTTTTTTTCTTGTTTGTTGTTGTTCAACTGCTGACTAGAGGGAAGGACTGGCTGATGGGATCTGCTGCCAGTTTCTTTGTTTTGCTTGTAGGTACCATAGTTTGAAGGATATTGTATTAATCGATGAATTGAATATAATAGGTTAGTTGGGCTGTTTACTAATCGATTAGCAAGTACCACTAATTACCCAGCTCTATTTCTCTATTTTATTTTTGTATTGTAGCCATTTCATTAGCATCATTAGCCATCTTTCTCTTTAACCATAATGCGACCTCAACTTCGGCCTGTTTTTATTTTCTTATGCATTAAGTACATAGCCTTTCAAATACTTGTTCCATTTCCATAAAAAGATTGGTTATACAATAGAGATTTTTGGGAAAACAAATTTAAAATAAATTACTAAACATTATACTGAGTTTAATAAATTCTGCTCATAAATAACTTTGCATGATTTTTGGAAAGGGGGGGAAAAAAATAGGACTAAATCTTCATTATTGGTTGTAGTTTTAGAGAAGATGAACTAGTAAGAACATTGTTGTTAAAGTACACAGTTAAATTGTAAAATAGTTTTTTTTGTATTTTTTTTATTATGAACTTAAATTCCATCAGATGTTACATTCACCAGTCTTTTTTATTTTGTAGCAGACTAAGTTGTCAGGTAATTGGCTAGTGCATTTATAGGAGTAACTGAGAATGTAGGCCATGTTTTGTTAGGGAAATGTTTTTTGTAGTTTTAAGTTCAGTTAATTAAATCTACTTTTACTAAATATGTATTATTAAGCTTTCTCTGACATATTAATCGTTGCACTACACCTACCTCCCATTATTCCTGTTGATCATTTTATGACACTAGATTCAGATTTTAAATCATGGGAATTTTATCCATGTTTGAGACTTTTGTCCACTTAGCTGCTGAAATCTTTTGTGAGTTTGTTTCAGCTTTTGTCCTTTTACCATGTATTCTGCATCGTATGTTTTTATTCATGAGGTTTTCAGTTTATGCTTCAAGTTCTATTCATCCCCCCAAGTTTCTCTTATGAGTAGTATATTTTTAGTGTTGGCATTTAATATGGATTTAATTTCAGAATTATTCTTCTCACTCTTTGGACTTCTCTTCTGTAACATAACATGCAGACAGTAAGGGACCATTTGGTCCTTGAAGCTGCACTTGCATACCTACCCTTAACTGAAGCTTAACCTGTTTTTTCCAAATCTTAAACTTATATCTTCTTATCCTGTAAGTATGGTAGAAAAAATTAAAGCCTTTATTTTAATGATTAACTGGAAAATCTTAGTAGCTCTTCTCAGAACCCATTTCCAAAATTGTACACATTATTCCAAGCGAGGCATAGCTAGTGATTCATTTAGAAAATTATTATTTATTTTGACTTGTAATAACTGTGTCTATAAATAGACCTTATAATTCAACTACTTTTACTACTAGGAACAGAAAACTATTTCAATGGCTTGAGTGACTACTTATCCATTGTTATGCCAAGATTCTTTTCATTCGTCATGCTATTGAGAACTCTTCTCCGTGTTTGCTTAAGGGCCTACCAAGGTACTCATAGGCCTTATAGAATGTAAACCTCAAGGGTCTAATTTTCTTCTTGTGGTTGACTGTCTACATTAGACCATGGAGACAAACAATAAAATAGAAACATATTTGGTATTTTTTTGGCAATTTATTTTTTAAAGCCTATATGGGGTAATTGTATATACTTGTTCTTCTCCAGATATCTCTGGAAATGTGTTGTTGTTTTTTTATATGTCATTAAAAATTATTATTTAATCGTAACTTCATTTTTCATGGGATGTGTATAATAATTTACTACTTATGTTAATGTTTATGCACCAGATTTACCTGTTTGAAAACCACATCTGTAGCAGGAGCATTTTTGTTTGCATGATTTTTTTCTTATTCTTTTAGAGTGCCAACTTTTTTTGTATGTTTTTATATAGTCTCTTTTTTTACCTAGTTCTATACTGTTTTTTGTGTTCCTGGGAGTTAATGGCCCACTCTTATTTTTTTTTTTCTCAGAAAGGATTGGGTTACTCTCTTTTTGAGAGATTATCATTTTATATTCTTTATTTTTTCACCATACTCTTTAAATTGCATTAACATCTCAGCTTTTATCCATGAGATAGATGCCTTTCTGGTACCATCTTGTTATGATCCTGAGATATCTGTCTTACTACCTCTGTAGGTTTTCATGTTACTCAGTATATCCTTTCATAAAGCAGACTGTTTAGTCTCCTCTAACTTATTCCTTATCTGTTCAAAGATGTGTGGGTTATGTTTTCTGTACTTATCCCTTGCAGTCACTTTTATTGGGGACTTTTGACTCTGTTGCTTTTGTCCAAATAGTCTATTAAGTTCCAGTAGGTACCTCATCTCTTTCTGTCTTGGTTTCATTATATTTTCCTACCCTTGAATGTCTTTATTTATGGGATTACTAGCTTCCTATAGAAAAGATGGTCTAGAGATAGTCTTAACTGTTTTTTATGAATTTCTTTTCATAGAACAGTAGGGTGCAGCAGGAAACTTGTGAGTGTGTATGTTCTTTTTTAATTTCAGCTCTGAACCTTTATCTTGTTGTTTGTTATTACTGGATCATTTGTTTTTAAAACTCATAGTCTGGACTTTTAAGTAGGTTGCTGAATGGCAAAGAAAGGCATTTATGAGACCTCTCTTTACTTCTTATCATTATTATTACTTATGTGGTTTATCCATGAAAGTTTGCTTTTAGATTTGTACACTTCTCTTTGGCTTTGTCACCTTTCCTCACATTTGGTCAATGTTTTCAGGCCTTTGCTGACTAGTTTGTTTTCCTGGCAACTAATTTTCTTTGATTGTATAACTACTAACTGTTAATCTTGTGACTTTTTCATAAAACTGTTGTTTTAAGGGTTATTCATATACTTGAGAGAAAAAAATGTAACTGAAACATGATTCAGGAAAGTAATAAGAGAATAAAGAAGTCTGTTCTATTATTGTTATTTTTAAGCTTGATATTTAAAATTCAACTTCACGTTTGTGCATAGAATGCCACATTTTGTTAGTATTGTCATATGAAAGTTTTTACATTGGAGTAAATCTATGTACATGTAATAGCATATAGGTGAACAAATTGTATGATATTTTAACATACAGTTTGTAGAACTTAGAAATATGAATTTTTTACCAGCTTTTAATTCCTATAAAAAGTTATTATTTTTACAGGAATGGACAAGATAAAAAACACTTTCAAAAGGCCCCAAGTTTTTTACAAAACAGGGAACAGTCTCTCTATAGTAAACTTTTAAGGATGACTGTGTTTTCATGAAATATTGTTAACAAAGAGACATCCAAATTGTGTTGTGTTTAGAAGACTTCGGTAAGTTTGTATTCATTTATTGAATTTTAAATGTGTTAAAAAACATTTGATGCATGGTAGTCATCATATAACTGATGGCAAATAGTTGCTGATTAAGAAAACATATTAACTGAATAAAGTAATTGTTATTAAATTTTTATTCTTTCTGTATAATATATTTTTCACATGCTAATGTAGTAGAATATCTTTAGTTCAATAAATTGCTTGAATGTGCAGGTCTAAAGTGATATATGTATTTAAGTTTCTTTTGTCATAAAAAGGTATTGAGTATTTATCCTTTATCCATTACATTAAAAATAGTCTTAACAGGTTGTGTTTATTTTTATGTATGGAGGGCTGAGTATGTTATATAAAAATATTTTTGAAGCCTCATCATGTCATTACAGCTTATTTTGCCTCATCTAACCAGGTTCTCTATGACAACTGTGAACCTTGACAATAGCTCTGCAATGTACATTTCATTGCAAAAGGATCCATCATCCATCCAAAGGATACCACTCATTCCCGCTGGCTGTTCATAATCGATCTAAAATATGAGAATATGGTTTCTCAGCACCCAATTATTTTAGAGTCGATCCTATTGCACAGAAATCCACAGGCTTTGCATATTGCAACTTGATCAGTATGTCTTTTTATGAAATAGCATGAATATATGTTTCATTCTCCATCTATTTGAGGCATGTGATTGTTAAACAAGAGATGACTGAAAGCCTTATTTTGGTGAATTTATATCCTGTTCTCCTCATTTCTGGATAATCTCCCTTATTGATTATATTGCGTACTGTTGCTTTGGGCATGTGAGCATCATGTGCTATTGACCTTTGTTTTTATGCATTCTCACCTGTTACAAGATCGTGCACTTTGCATTTAAAGACTTGTTGTAAGCTTGTTTCTGAATAGACCTGGTGTCCCACGTTAAGCCATATTCCCTTTTCCAATGACATTAATTATAAGGAATATCCCTGTCTTTGAAATTCTAAATCCATAATCTGAATGCACCCTTATGCTCTGAGTGTATGGATATGTTGCATCAGAAAGGGCTGTTACATACTCTTCTTAAAAACTATAAATATATGATTGCATGCATACACTACCTATGCAATGCCAAACAATGTTAAAAGGTAGTTCTGATACATGCTTTATTCCTGCTGTCATTATCATGTGGCTTTTTCATTTCAAAATTGTTTTAATATAATGTACTCAATCTCTGTACAATATAATATATATCCTAACCATTATGATACAGAAGCTTAAACTCTTGATTCATGTAGCTAAAGAGAGTATAACTTTTAATTAGAACTGTATTTGTAAATAATGTGATACCACAATTTCTGTAAGACAATAGCATGTTTACAATATTTTTATAGACCGAAGCCAGAAAGTAGAATAAGAATGCTTTAACTAGATTGTTATGCTTTGGCAAAATCCTTGGAGAAATAGGTAAAAGAAATCATGTATCTGTGTACTGGTGTGCATCTGTCTTATTATTCTTCAGTCCTAGGTATTTCTATACTTCAGTATTTGAGCAAACCAAAATGAAGTAATGAATATTTAAAATGGAACTAAGTAAACATCAAAAATTTAATGTATAAGGGATCTGTGAAAAAATATTTATATATATATGTATGTATGTATATATGTACTTAGTGATGGTTTCAGGTTTTTCCATCCTGCCAAATTTATAAACATTTGTAGGAATTCGTGCTTTCTTTTTCACTTAAAGGATGTGATTATTAAAGTTTGAGTACGTAAATACTTGTTTCCAGTTTACCTTTAGCTTCTGACCAAAAGTATTCATGTATATGATACATAAAACTTGAAAATAAAAGTTTAATATTATACAGAACAGTATTTGTATTTGTATAAATAAAAATGCATATTTACTCACTAGGTATAAATTAAATGTTCAGTTTAGTGTAATGAAGTGAGCTCTGACTCACTAACTTGAGGGATAAAGTATAAAAAAAAATGTGCTTGCTGTTCCATTTTATGAAATAAAGTGAAAAGGTTACTAGTTTCAGTACGATCAGGTTACAGTTACATAAACTGAGCTGATGATGTTATCAGTATATTTGGTAAGCATTTATTCTCTGTTATAAAATCATTACTTTTCTTCCTGTTTAAGTAGCCATGTAGCCACATAGGCAACATGTTAGTTTGTAGCATACTTGCAGTTTCCAGGAAGTGATTATACATGTTCTTATAAATAAATTAAAAAAATGTATACGATTTTACAGTTTTTTGTACTTGATGTTAATGGCCTGTTGTAATTTAATCCAGCATATATTTTTTTTAGTATGTTCCATCAGTTATGAATATAAGATGGATATTTCTAATAAGACATCACATATAAATAGTTATTCTGTGCTGTTTAAAAAGTTTGTGTCAAAATGATTTCTAAACCATATCTTGTTACTGTTCACACTTGGAAAACATTCTGTACTGTTACAGAAAGAAATTAGCAGCTGTTTACTGTATTATACCAGTAAGAGAATTAAGTAAAAAGTTATTCTATTAGAATAATATTACAAAGTTAGGAGTGCTAAAAAGATTGCACATTTCACCTGTGTTTTTAAAAACATAAACCACTCACAATCTAAAGGTTGATCCAAGATAGTCAAATCTGTCTGAAATGACAGATTTTTTAACTTCAGTATTTTCCAACATTTTATTTCATTGTTGTTTAGCTACTTTAACCCATGGATATGAATCTGTTGTTAGCTGTTGTTGTATAACTGTTTATGGTGTTTGTTGTGTAGAATCTTAAATAGATTACCAGTGGACCACTCTCATGTGAAGGTTATTTCCCATGGAAAATACAATAAAATTTGTTTTTTCTCAGAAAAATATGATTAAGTGGAACTATATAATGCTACCCCTGATGATTGTAACTTGCTGAAGTATTTAAATGCTTTAAAACAGTGGAAATGGTGTGGATAGAACTTTCCACTGATGTAACAACATTTAAGGCTTGTGGCCTATAAAATTACTTTTCTGATGATAATAATAAAGATGAAGATAAAGTCGAGGAACCCACTTTGAGACTAATAATGGTTGGAGACGGCTTGAACGGGTAATGAAGAAAAACTTTAATATAAGTTTAACATAACAGCAAATGTACAACGTTTCGACAAGGTTTTGTCATCATCAGGTACAAAACAGTTTTTCTTCATTATCCATTCAAGCCGTCTCCAACCATTATTAAAGATGAAGATAGTTGACAAAACACACAACTTTTATTTACAGAAGACTTGAATGTTTCAGCATACACTTATTCCATCGTCAGTGAAATCTGAAAATAATATTACAATGATATATTATATACTGATGCTATAGTATCATCAACCACTAATTTACTTAGATATTCATTCAGTAAAGTAGTAAACAGAAGGAAAAACAGTTTATAGAATGTGTTATGAATGTTTCATGTATTACATGTTGCATGAGACAATTGTAACTATTTTTAACATACAGCTGAGTTTTAAGTGTGTAAATTTTGAATAATTTTAGGTCTAAGAAGGTTTGTAAGTCATTAAGAGTAGAACTGTCTTGCTGTGAGTAAACTTTCTCTAATGCAGAGTTCAAGGTCTGAAGATTTTGTAGTAATGAAAGAGAAATCAAAATATCAAATATTGTGACCTGTGGTTTCGACATGTGAACAAATAGATGGGTGGCTGGGTTTAAGTAATGGATGGCCAGTTCTGTTTGATACTCCTAAATCTTCATAGACTTGCTTTTCCAGTAGCATTTTGTTTTGCCAATGTACACGACCTTACAGACACTAAATCTGTACTCTTACATAAGCCATGAACATGGATATTTCATCTGTATATTGAAATAAGTGTTTAATGTTGATGGTAGTTCTTACATATATACGAGTATATACATTATTTTTCCTGATACACGTCTTTCACTATCATTAAATTGTCTCCTTGTATAACAAACTTACAAACTATGAATGTTCATGTCACACTGAAAATACACTAAACAATACACGAAAAATGTCCCATTTTTGGTTGGCATAGAACTTAACGTATAAAATAGTTGTGTGGCTTTGGATCTGTAACAGCACTATCACAAGTTTTTCTCTTTAGTTGGCTTCAAAAACTAATTTCACACTAAAGTGACAACAATGGGGTAAAAATATTTCATGCAAAGGAATACTTCCCAAACAAACAGAAATTTGTAATGTTCGTGGGCTCACAAATCTTACAAATTAAAAAACAACAACGCTTCTCCTTAATAACACAATTTCTTCTCTCAAATTCAGCACAGTCTAATATATTTTTCCATGTAATTTTCAGTTGTGTTAGAGGAATTTTCCGCAACTCAACATATCGATCGTATACTGAGCCTAAGCTCATAAAATGGTCACCTGGCTAGTGTTAGTATCCCTCAAGCCATAATATATTAGATGATGAAATCATATCCGGTATCACGTTTTCCATGTTCTAGTAAATAACTAGCCAGTGGCAACTGTTGTCAACGCTTTTGGGTGGAGACTTGAATCAAGTGATCAGGAAATACATATGCGTTGTAAAACTGTGATTTTGATAAACTAAAAACGTTTTATTTTCTTTCCATCTGTATTGTAGAAATCGCTGTAATTTGTTGTCATTGGTTTTCCTTAAGATAATCGGTGTTACACCCATGTATCCTGGCGGCGCTTTCGTTAAATTAGTAAGAATTGATCATTAATCTCAGATATTCTTTTAGTTAATTACTGATTTTTTTTATAGTAATGACAGAATTTAACTAATATATGTATTACGATTAACAGTAATGGTTCAGCGGTAAATCTGCGGGATTATAATGCTAAAAGTCAGGTTTAAATACCCGCGTTGGGCAAAACACAGATAGTCCATATTGTAGCTTCCTGCTTAACAACAAATAAGTTATTTCCAACTTGTTACTAAGTTTATTACAACGCCAAAATCCAGGGTTCGACACAGCAGATAGCCCAATTTAGCTTTTTTGTGAAATCAATCAACCATCTAAGTTCAATTTGTAAAAAGATGCGATAAGCCGTTCGTAACTGCACATATGGCTAGAATTCAGAAAAAAAAACAACAAACAAATGTCTTCGTTTCCGTATTCTCCAGTTTCATAGATGAATGTTTGGATTATCTGTAACTTTTACTTTTTCTTTTCTTTTTTTTATGTTTTGTTAAGCCGAATGCCTAATCGTGTAAAACTATGTGAGTGATGTTTATAAATCCAGTCACATTCTTGTTGTCAAAATAAAAACTGTGTTGATATACCACTTCACCAGATGTAACACAACAGCCCTGAGCTCGTTTCTTATGTCATGGGGTCAAGGCTGCCTCGGAATTTGAAAACAAACTTGGATAGTTTTCACAAACACTGAAATTTTTCAGTTAAACGATAAAAACTTAACATTAAAAATGGTACCTCGCACACTTTCTGTATAATTGAATTTAAGTATAGTTGCAAGGAACTAAAAATGAAAATGATTTTGCCTTTTTTGGTTGTTAATGTTTTGTCGGTGTCATAACAGTTCATTATTGCTTTAATAAGTTAGCAATCAGGTATAATTATACAAATTAAAAAAAATGATTACGATAACAGTACTGTATACACCGAGCTCAAACAATCAACAAATAGCCCTAATTTTATATATATGTATATGCTTTAATAATATTCGAGTAAAAGTATTTGACCACCAGTTATATGTGACATGTATTATATTAGTTAAAGCGTATAGACTCCAATTAAAACACTTGTTAAAGATATGTCAAGATTAATATTACTTTAATGGAAAGAAAAACCCCTAATGCTGAATGGCAAGAACGTGATATATTGTGTTTCCTTATATTTAAAAACAGTTCCCTTGCATCATCCATGGCTGTCTTAAGACCAATTCAAGAAATATATTTTAAATCTTGTATATCTATTAAAATGTTAGTAACACTTTTGAACTGTAAACTACTGAACTGTTGCTGCTTACAGAGATAATTGTTCAATTTTTAACTTTGTTAAACATTGATCATTTTTTGGCTTAAGTTACAAGACCTATAATATTTTCTAATAAAAAAGTGTCAGTAGAAAAAGAGAATCGGTTAGAAAAATTACTAAGTAAAGGGTACACAAAAAATAGCTGGTATAAGTTTTTAATGCTTGTGTAAATAATTTGAAGCCAGATTAATAAACATATTAAATAGAGTAAAATTATAATTGTGCTTGAAAAAAGTATGTTGAATTCTAGTGTTGAATGGCAGATTTCCTAGGTAAATTTTACTGGTAGACAAAAAATATACCTGAAATGCCACTTACAAATGCCTCTGATTTTAAATTTATTAAAAATTGTTTAAAGGATTTTCGACGTTTCATTATAGGGAATAAGACTGAAAATGTTTTCAATATGTAAATATTTCTTGAAAAATCGGCCCTAGTTTAACAGAAAAAGGCTTAAACTTTTAATAATTACTTACGTACATGAGAACAAACAATTTTAGTTTGTCACTTATTTTATTGCTAAGCTACCTAGTCTTCGTATTAGGCTTAGTTGTATACTGTAGTTATTTTGTGTTCAGGTTAAATACCTTGGTAATATGTTGTATATATATTGTTAAGTCTCTGGTCGTTTGTTAATTTCCGGTATAAGTTCTTCCCGAGGAACTTCAGCGATACAAGTCCTTTCTTAAATAAAATTAGTTTATTCTTTCTCAATACAACTTTACAATACACAGAATTTCCACTGTCACTTTAACTTAAACACACGCTATAATTCACAACGATTCACGCACTATACTTACGGTCACTACCGCTCGCTTGACTCAATTATCTGTTTCTATCTCTGTCTATCTGCATTTATCTCTCCGCTTTATTTGTAGGGCTTATATACTAAAATAGAGGGCGCCTAGAAAAGACTAGAGTTG